TACGACTCCTCTTCTCTGCTTGACTGTGGCTATTTTATGGCAGCAAGACGAGTCTATTATATCCGAAAAGGGTGGACCCCATAATACTTATGTTCTTGTAATGTTTCATTGTTCGTATTTGTAGCGAGCCTTGATTTCATTTTTGGACTGTTGGCAAAAGTGAATTTCTGCTTAACTGATAATAAAATCATTATGTATATATATATATATATGTATGCTGATTCAAGTGCAAGCTAACGGGGACACGCGCACACACACAATACACAAAAATGGAAATGGATTTGACAGACTCAAGGGTAATGTAGGGATAGGAAAACATCTCTCATCAACACATCTATCATCACCACCACTAACACCAAACCTAATGATTTTATTACCACTTAGGCAGAAATTTCCGTTTGCCAACAGTCCAGAAATGAGATCAACGCTCGCTACAAATACAAAAAACGAATAAAGAAATATTAAAAGAACATAAGGAAAATTTACTCCTTTAAAAATTGATTCCTTTTATTTGCCTGAAGGTCACGAGACCGGAAATACGTGTAGCAAAAATATGAAGAATAAAATATAATATATACACTAAAACAAATCCATATTATAACTAAAAACGTTTGCGGTTTATCTCTTTTTTAAAAAACATACATTTTTCTCTCCTTGGAACAATTATAACCTTTTCTCTATCTATCTATCTATCTATCTATCTATCATTGTGTACTTGGGTAGAAATCTCTCTTTTATATATGTTTCATTAAAGACGACTGACAAGGTACTGCGATTAAGTTTTTTTATTTATTTTTTCTTGTGTTCATATAAGTGTTTTCTTTTCTGGGCATAAAGTGTGTTAAAATTATCTAAATGTTCTGCATATGCGAGCTCTTTCGGCTATTCTTCTAGCCATTATCATTTTTTTTAAATTTTTAAATGAATGTATAAGTTTTTATATATGTGTCTAGAGTTATAGGAATGTTTTGTTTTACTTTCCAAATACGGTCAGAGTTATCAGTGTGCATAAGCGAATGAAATATGGATAGAACTCCTAAGTGACGCGTTTAATTCTGAGAAGTGACTTCTTCAGTCTATTAACAGTTTCACTAATAGAATTAATTTCATATATAAAAGAGAGAGATGGTTACAGTTTCACATTAAAAGCGTGGAGGGAAAAGGTATTTTAAGCTACTAACTTAATTTACGAATTCATTGCTATTTAATATTTTTCAACAAAATAATACATAAATTGAAAATAAATGTTCATCTGGAGTATTGATAATAAGTTTACGAAGAGATTCATCCAACTGTTATTGTAAAATGTATTTCATTATCTTTCAAATTCAAGATTTTCGCCATGAGCTCGTTATTAAAATGTTCATGGCTAAATTTTATCTGACAATAGACAAAACTGTTTTTTTTTTAAACTTCTTTGTAGTTTAAGTTTAGCAAACTGTCAAATCGGTTCAGCAAAAATCTATGATCCTCGAATGTTAAGCCGGTCAGCACTTTCCATATCAGCTATTGCAATGCTTCTCAAACTATCTATTGTAGCGTACCGGCATTTTTTTTAATATGCGAATGGCCGGCAAGCGAAACTTTATAACCCATCTGGTGCTTTCTTCTTTTTAGATATGTTCTATTTCAGTATCATTTTGCGACTATCTGTACTAAATATAACGACATAGTGTCTTATTCATTTTAAGGCCAATCATTACTGACGTAACAAGTCTTTCCAGTGTGACAGGGACCAGTATCAAATTTGTGTTATTTCTTCTGACCCTACACACTAGCCCCGCATGCAGCTGTGTTGTCAGACTTATAGTGAAAGTTGAAAATCTGCTCGGCAATGAATCTAAGGAATTAAGTGATAATCTTTAAAAAATGTTAAAAATCAACGTAGCTATTCCTTTTTTCTACAGTCAGGCGAATTTTTAAAGGACAAATTAGAAGTATATATCCATGAATATGGCCTTTTGGTATTCCTAAGCGTAGTTCTCACACAGTAACACGTATTTGAGTTCACGGTGTTTCTGTTCATTATACCGCGTTCGTTATTTGTATTGTAATGACTTTTAACATGAGTGAGTAATTGAAAAATGTAACCGTAATAAATATAAAACTAAAATGAAAATGTTTAAAAACAAAATATGAGTCAGATATCCCGGCAGTTTCCCATAGCGTGGAATGTGTACGTGTAGCGGCATACTTTGAGTAGTACTGAGTTAATGGACCCAAATTCCCACTTTGTCCACAACGATTACGTACAATGTTTTTTCAGAAAGAATTGGACAAACAATTTAAGTCCCATTTGATACAACTCGAGAATTCTGCAAAACTTGTCTTTCCTGTTCGATACCAACATTTATTTTGAAGCGATTCTCTTTGACGTATTTTCGCCTTTTTTATAATAAAGTATTTACATACGCATGTGTCTTTTGTCTCAAAACGCTGTCTTTCTTGGTTATTATTATTTACATATCAAGGAAAGTAAGGATCATTTGTTTGCGTGCACACAGCTTCCGTGAACATAGCGCCCACCTGATACACTTTTACGCGTTGTCGCATTTATTTTCCCCGTGGCAAGGTTAGTTAGTACTAATTTTAGCCCTGCTTCACCTACTGAATTGTGGAAACCTTTACATATCAGACAAACATATATTTTGTCAAGAAAGACGGAAAATGTTATGATAGCACTGATACACAAACTTAGCAGATGAATTCCATTTCAAAGACAAAAGATCAATTTTCAAGTACGACAAAGAAAGCAAAAGATGCTTTCGAAAGATTATATCACGCCAATCCTTTGAGACGACCCTTCCTAGTGAACACTTGTTGCTATTCTGCACGCCAAAGAACGATTTGGTTTTCTATATTTGCTAAGTTTAGCTTAGCATAGAATGACACAGCGAAAGGAAGTGACGTTTAGGCAGGCAGATTGTGTTAGGTTAATCGCCCAATTTGGGAAAAGTTTGTTTCGAAAATCAGTGTTGATTTTTATAAGGAAAAATTCTCCTGAATATTGTGAAGCCTTCAATTATGACTATGAATTAACAAATAATTCATAACATTAAAATTTGATTCTAAAATGCTGAAAATAAAACGTCACAGTCATGCTGGGAGAATGAAAAGGAGAAATAGTGAGAGGGAGAGACAGACAGACAGAGGGAAAGAGTGAAAGAAAGAACAGGAGAAATAAAGAAGAGAGAGAAGGCGACCGAGACAGTGAGAAATAATAATAATAATAATAATAATAATATACAAGTCATTGAACAAGTTATATGATAAATAACTTCAAAATACGTGGCCATCTAAGTCTAATAATAATATCTCAACAAAAGAACGTGGCAAACTTTTCGAGTATAAAGACCTGGAAGCAGGAATTGCAAGAGTGTGGCATGTAAGCACAACCACTAACCCAATAATAATATGAGCACTCGGAATGATCAAACAGTAAGTTAAAAATATAAAAGATATGAAAGATAAAATTTAAATTTAAAGCAGAGTGTATCTTCATCCTTTGTTTTTTCATTTTCCATCATTTTCTTTTGCTTCTTTCGGGTTAGTCTCTTCAGTGCCTGTGTAAGACAATGATCTGCGATGGTCTAGTGGCTTTGGATACTTACATAGCTAAGTGGACTCTAACTTATTTACTCTAGGCCTAAAGTGACTTGTATTTTATAACTGCCAGTAAAATCGAGACGTGAGAACAAAGTAAGAGAAAAGGATAATAAATTAAATGAATAAATGACAAGTTTCGAGGTCATGTGCCCCTTGACCGGAAGGTGGGGAATCCGGTTATAGGCTTATATAGCCAGGCCGTATTCTAGAATAGCCAGTGACAAATCTGTCGTGATGTAGAAATTAACAGGATAAGAGTTGGGGAGAGTCGCAGTCAGAGTCCTGTCACGAGCCGTCCATAGAGATTTAGAGTGGAACAGAGTGAGGTATCGCTGGCCAAAGGAAGGTTTACTCCATACGTCTGTCATGAGAGAAAACACATGTAGCAGTGAAGTTGTGTCAAGTGTTACTTACCTACCCATCAACTCGTGACTCATGAATATAGAATATTGAAAACAGGATTCATCTTTTCTTTTCTTGCCGTGGCGGTATTTCACCTTCCGTTTCTTTGTTAAACTTACATCGGGCATTTCCTATTTTCCCCACTGACGCAGATGGGAATCGAAATCCCCAAGAGTTATGGTTGCATGTTTATATTTGCACTGTTTTAACTTTCTTTCTTCTTTTTCCAATTCTTATACACCGCGCTGGGCCAGTCAATGAAGTCCGGTTTGAACAGAGAACCAGTTTTCTGGGAGAAGCCACTAAAAGATGTACCCCAAGACTCGTGAGCAGAGTACCGGACTTGTGAGTAAAGACCGCTTTTATAGTTTTCTTTTATTTCAGTGTCGGGGAGAAATGATGTAACTCATTTCTATACTTTGTTGGCATGTTCTCTTTCTAGAAAATAAAAAAAAAACTTTATTTACATTCTTTCGATTCCTCTCTAGTTGTCTTTATTTTTTTATAATTATATGTGCTTAGGTTCTTATCTGCTTTCGATGGTCATATACTACCAAGGCCGCCTCGCATGTATTTGGCAAAGCAACACATGCGCGGACGCACACACAGGCGCGGACGCGGACACACACACACACACACACACACACACACACACACACACACACACACACAGATTGGGATAACAAATAAATACCTGGGATTCGAACGCTGCTTGTTTGATTGATTCGTTTTTTAATGTTTATCAACTCTTTGAAGGTTATTTAAAGCCAGAAAATATTTTATATTGTAAGAATTTTTTTTTTCAGAAAATAATGTTTTAATGATACAAGCCTTACTAATTCACTCATAGCTGGAGGAAAAGAGGTGGGTTCATGCCTTTCTCAAGGGTATTTGCGCGTAAGAGAATATAACGAACCAAACGGGAAGTATAACTCGGCTCTCCGATTAACAATTCTGTACGATTATCGATTAGACCAGCCGAACATCCAAGCTTACTGCATCTGTTATTCCCAAACGGTCACCCATTTGGGTACTGACCAGCCTCGACGTTGGTTGCTTAACTTCAGTGATCGTACAGGAACCGGTGTTTCAATATGTTGCGGTCGTAAGCCTCAGACGTTGAGTTTGTAAACAAAAAAAAACGCAAATCACCTAATTATACAGTGCACGTGCAGGCACCATGCTTATGCATATGTTAACACATTTCCGTTGTCAGCTGATACTGTTGGGTTAACTAAGTCATCTGTGTACAACATTTCAGTTATTTATTTATGATAGCAGCGCTACCCTTTAAACTTTTCAGACTACTTTAGTGATTAGAAGGTGGCGTCTTTTTTGAAAGATCAACTCTAACCGTGAAGAATATCTCAAAGCTTAACCCAAGTTAATTCTAGTTAGTCAATTCCCACTCGTAATATAGACGAGTTTTAGCTTTGTTCGGCACAAATAAGCGATATCCAAAATCGGCGATATCCAAAATTGCTCAGATAACAAAATAAATATCTCCTTGCAAATAACACTGCAGTTCTCCATCCGAATGAGAACTAGAAGCCCTTCCGGGATTTTTTATTAGGAGGATGATCTTGTATCTTCTTCTATGTGCCGTGTCCTTTGAGGACATTGGCGATCATGACTCCATTCAATATTCTGTTCTTTGTAACTTTTAATAAATTTTGTTTCTTTGTTATCTCTCCTAAACCCTGTTTTGACGTCCATTTACACAAGCTCGCCATATAGGTTATGGGTTTCCTCTGTCCCTCTCGCCTTCTGTCTGTCTTGTGAGAATCAAATTTTCCAAGCCCTCTCTCCTCATTATATATAGTGACAACAAAATTGGTTTAGGTTCTTAACACAGAATCGCTCCTTGAAGCTTATCCTTATTGTATAACCAGTTCCATTAGGATACAAGAATGTTATCCGTGGCGCTATAAAACTTTCCGAATATTCTTCATAATTACTGGTGATAATATACAAGAACTTGAGACAAGTTTAATGGCGCCTTTTTGAAACAGCAGTTCTGATCGTGAAGAATATTTCAAAGTTTAATCTAATTCGTGTTAAGAACTTGATGCAATAATTCTTTCCAAAAAAGATTGCTGTGATTAAGTTGTATAACGGAAGGAAACGTGTGACAAACTCTTTTCTTTCCCATCGGTTTCTGTATTTTCTAAGCCATTTTGAACATTTTCATGGTAGCCATATTTTATCAGGCTTTATGATACACAGCGCATAATTATATTCAGTATTTACTAGCTTTTCGCTTGTTGATTAAATTTGTTAATAGCAAATACAAACGCTGCATTAGCTGATCTATAAATAACGTAAAAGAAGCGAGTGGTAAAGCAATAATCTACAAATAACGCAAAGGAGGCGAGAGGAAAAGCAATGAGATATATGCATACTCTTAAAAATTATTAAATATAAATAAAACGAAGGATTTTCTTAGAGCCATTGAAGTACCAATCATTTTGAAATTCAGTACCCACTTATATAGTTGCCCCAAATAGGCATGCATAATAGAAAATCAATTTGAAATTATGAAATTAATATAAATAAAAATAATTTTAATCTTTTCTTCTTCTTTGGGCTATATGAACTTCTAGACGATTATTATTCTCTACAGCTTCCTGTCTTTTATAACATTTCACCCATTACCCTACTCCCTTTTGTTCTGTCATCCATTCACTGAAATTCGTATCTCCCTGTTTCTCCTGCTTTCACTATATCCTGCGAGCATTAAATACTCAGTGTTCTTTCATCATTACGTGTCATAGCATCTCTTTCTGATTGTAAGTATATCGTCCATTGTAGTCCTTTTTTCCTTAAAACTTCCTCGTTACACGCATGCTCTGTCGATGGTATACTCAGTATTTGTCGATATAGCCACATCTCTGTCGCTTCAAGGACTTTTTCATTTTTGAGGAGATCGTCTAGTACAATCATGGGCAAACTGCGGCCGCGGGCCACATGCGGCCCGATTGGCTTTCAGAATGGCTCACCAAATTTCATGAGTAAAATAACGTTTATTGACATTTTGTTTGTTTCTTTTCGTTCTCACTTTTGTCCAAAGACGCTCACTCTCTCTCTCTCTCCCTCTTTCTCTCTCTCTCTCTCATGAATAACCAAATACATAAACAATGATCAAGTACAATGTTGTCAGTATTTTTAACTATATACGATTTTCACTAAGGAAGATCATTGGTGCAACGTCAACGAGAAATATTTTCTATAGAGAATTAACTCCTTTTATAAATATTTTTGTATACTCAAATGAATAAATTGGAAAAAATTACACTTAGCAGCGTGTGTTAATCACTCTGTCATCAACGATAATATTATACCAAAACATTTTTTTTAATTATAGAAGAAATCTTTTCCCAAAAGAAAAAAAAAAGAATTATTTCGATCTTTTTTTCTTTGTAGTGTAGCCCGCCTTATGGTGTATTGTACCTGACACCGCCGACTGTTCGAAAATGGTTGCCCATGCCTGATTATACATTACATAGCAGTTCAGAAGTATTTTCTTTGTTTAAATAGTATTTTCTTCTTGCTTTCTTTTACTATCTTAATCACTGTTGCGGACTATTTTCTGTTCCCCACACTGCTTCGCTTGTTCTCAATTTCTTATGAGCATTAAAATTTCTAGGCTTTCTTTCCTCATGATGTCTCTCAGAAACTTCAACTCTCTTTTTAATTTTAAGTATGAGTTTCCTTATAGTTTTTGTTTTCCTTAAAACTTCCTAATTACTCACATGTTCTGCCCGTGGTATTCTTAGTATTCATCAGTAAAATCATATGCCTGTTCCTTCAAGTCTCTTCTGCATCATAGAGCAGATTTCCAAATATTCATTACTGTATAGGGGGCATCTTGAGGCGGTGTAATGATTAGCAAGCTTGTCTCGCTAGAACAATTACGACTGAGTAGTGAGTTCGATCCTCACTGGGTTCCCCTTAATTTCGGCCTTGTGCCACATCTAATCTACACTTGGAAAATCACTATTGTGCACCTCGGCGTGGTGTAATGGTTAGCAAGCTTGTCTCGCTAGAACAATTACGAGTGAGTTCGATCCTCATTGGATGCCTCTTACTCTCGGACTTGTGCCACATCTAAGCTACGCCTGGAAAATCGTTATTCATTATTGTATAGTGGAAAAGAAATTACATAGCAGTTCCGAACTATTTTCTTTGCTTCTAAGGACATTTTTATATCTCTTAATACTTTGCTTAGTTTCTTTCACAATTCTTATGTTGCTTTGGATTTCTGTGTCACATTTTCCGTCATCTGTTATTACACTACCCAGATATCGTTACAAATAAAATTAGTCCTTTTGTAAAAAGTATATAAAGACTGTGGTGTAGTAAGTTAGTGTAGCAAGTGCTCTACGCGTGTGGCTCTATGTCAGACTAAACTAAAATCTGTAGGATACACCTACACTAGTCTTATCGGTTTTATACTTCCTGTATAAAAAATAATGTGATACGTGTTTGCACAGAAACGGTCATTTGTTTCTTTGTGTGCTTCCAGTCTTGATTTCAGGGTATCGAGTTTTGTGTGCGTGTTTTATGAGACTAATAAAAATGTACATAGCATCAACTGAGCCTCATTCCGCTTTTCTCTCTCATACCCTCTCCCTTTTTTCTCCTCTCTCTCTATTTATCACCCTCTCTCTCTCTCTCTCTCTCTCTCTCTCTCTCTAACGAAACGAATATGACTAGCCATAAACACAAGTACATCAAGGGAAAGAAAATACATATCTTTTTGAAAATATCATGATAGCGATATAAATGTACATGATCAAAATTTTAACTCAATGAGTCAATTTTACGGAAGTGCAGGTGGCGAAATGGTTAGATGTTCGGAACGAGAAATCTGCGAGTCGAATTCCGGTCGAAATCGTTACATTTATTTTTTTGACACAACCATCCTTGGGAAAAGGTAGCTAGATTCCTTAGTCCTACCACCCCTGACCTTTACAACTAGGGCCCACAATGCCACGTACACTCGAATAAATCATCTCCATTCCCTTTGTATTCCTAAGTTCCATTCAGACAGCTTCTTCCCAAGAACTGTCGCTTTTTTGTGGAATAGACACCTGGCTGTTTTCCCAATCACTATAATCTTGACCTCTACAAGTCTAGGGTTTTAACCGTTATCTTTCCTGCATGGACCCATTGACCTCATTTCTTGACCTTATAAAATAACCTTCTGTTTCGAGCTTGGGTCACTGCCTAGATGGGCGACTTCTTAGGAATACCGAGTATTGTAAATTTGGATATGCAGTTAACAGCACGGAATGACAAATCGGAGTGCCGAGTTCGAGTTACAATGGAGTTCGTTACATTCACTTACGCGCAAATACCTTTGGGAAAGGCATGAATCCATCTCTCCCGAACAGCTGTGGGTAAATAGCAGGATAGACTGGATATTATAGACTTGGTTGTCAAATATATATATATATTGCTGAGACTTCCTGACAAATGGATCAAATAATTACAAAAATGTTTCGTCTATGAAACTCTGGAGTCTGGGTGCTGAATATAACATCAATCATCTAAGTGGCAAATTTTATATTTTATTATCCGTGTACACTGTATATAATATATAAAACAAATGACAATATAATGCGGTTAAGATTTTATTAAATTTAGATCCAGTGACAGGACCAAAGACTGTGAGTTCAATACCTGGTTAAGACGGTGGAGATCTTGGAGAGGGAAATTAACAGGAGATAACTAATAATAACTGACATCCATTTAGACATGGCACGTGGAACTAGAACATTCTACCCCAGTGAGCAAAATAAAGGGTTCAGTTCGACATTCCAACCGCCTGAAGAAGGACGGAGCGTACAACAGCTGAAACGTTGTAATAAATACGGCGACAAAGATGAGGACAATAGTCCGAATAATGTAAATAGTGTATAAATTCTAAATCAAAAATATTTTTAGTTTGCTTCGCAAAAACTCCAATCCTCAGAATGAAAAATTAACAAAAATTAGGGAGTTATTCACATTTTGTAAGTGCGGATGATATTCGAGGTACTTACAATTTAAAAATAAAAAAATAAAAAAATGTGTTTTTGGCGTGTTTATCGG